CCCCCCCCAGTCGCCCCCTGAACAGACTGACTGATTCCCTGCCCCCCCTTGTTCTCTCTCTTGATGAAAGCATCTTCACAGGTCCTGGCCTGGCTGGTAGGTGAGGATTTGGTAGCGGATGCTAACAGGAAGTGTCTCCCTGCAGGTGCTCGGTGGCCCCCACCATGCCGGCTGGGACGTGCGGGGGGGTGACACTCCCTTTCTCTCGCTCTCTCTCTTCCTCTCTGCTACTTCTCATGCAGTTTTGCTACAGTTGATCATTTTTGTGTAATTCACTGGAGCTTCTTGGGACACTACTGGGGAAGCATAAGCCCTGTACATCAATAGCCCCACACCCTCGCTGACCACGCCCACCTCTCTCCACAGCCACGAGGCTGAGCGGCTGGAGCAGGAGGCCAAGGGCCGCCTGGAGCGCCAGAAGATCATGGACCAGGCGGAGGCTGAGCGGGCCCGCAAGGAGCTGCTGGAGCTGGAGGCGCTCAGGTAACTGCAGCGCCACCTTCAGGCAGAATGCCTTTCTCATCAATCCATCCGCCTCGTGTATCTCTGCGTGAGCACCTTCCAAAGCGTGTGTCTGCGTGTGCATCCTACCCCCAGCGCGGCTGTGGAGAGTACCGGTGCGGCCAAGGCCGAAGCCCAGTCCCGCGCCGAGGCAGCCCGCATCCAGGGCGAGGCGGCCGTCGAGGAGGCCAAGCTCAAGGTGGAAGCCCTCAGGATCGAGGGGGTGAGGATTCTCCCCACGTCTACACTCCCACATTCAGTACTTAAAGGGTTCAGTTAATAGGTTAAATCTATGGAAACCACTTGGATGAATATTTCCAGCCTCCATTCAGCTTCCCCTTTCAGTCCCCAGTGATGGGTCATGCTCACCCTGTCCAGCAGCACTGTGGTTTTCTTCAAATTCAGTGTCATGCTGCTGACAGAGCCAGCTCTGTCCCCATTCCCCCCCCAGGAGGCGGAGCTGGCCCGTCTGGCCAAGGCACGCGAACAGGAACTGAACTACAAGCTGCAGCTGAACCAGCAGGAGTGGCAGAAGCAGGAGAAGCTGGCACAGATTGAGATGGTGCGCTTCAAGGACATGATGCAGAGCCTGGGCGCCGACACCCTCAAGGAGATGTCCAGGGCAGGACCTGAGCTACAGGTAACGCCACCCCCCAGCGTGAAGCCCCACAGGGCAAGTCCTGAGCTGTAGGCACAGGCTCTGCTCCTGAGCCCAGAGAAGTCCACACACCCCAGCTTTCCTGTTTCACTGATCCTAACTCCCTACAGCTTTCAAAGCACCTCCCCCCTTAATTTGCACTCCAAGTTGCCTCCTCTAAACATGTCCGTGGTCTTTTAATGGGGGCATCTTAGCAGCTCCTGGCTGAGGTAGCGGATGCTGGCAGAAAGAGTCTCCCTGCAGGGACCTGCTCCTCCTTTCATCCTGCCGCTTCCTGTCCTGTGTGTTCGGGACTCTGACTCCCTCTCTTCTGCCCCCTCAGGTGAAGCTGCTCCAGTCACTGGGTCTTAAATCCACCCTGATTACAGATGGGTCAGCTCCCATCAACCTCTTCAGTACCGCGAGCGGCCTGCTGGGTAACCTGCAGGGCAAGGTGGAGTGAGACGACGGGAAGGGAGGAACTGTCCAGCCAGTGTGGAAACCAAAGCCGAATATGCCTGCTGCCCAGAAGTGCTCCGAAACACTACCCTGATACTGATATGCTACTTACAGGGAAAAGCCTCATTGTTCAGATTGTGCCTTAAGATGTAACCTTTAAACATAAATATAAGCAAGTATAAAATCTCCATTGAAGCAGTCACTCTGTCTGTGCTGTGACCCCTGCACCCTCCTGAATACTTGAGGATCACCTGATTTGTGTATTAATGATGCACATGCTCACTGAGCACATCTAACCACAAGAGGAAAATCATTTTAAATATTACCCATGTGAAAAAAGTCATGAGATGAAGATGCCACTATAAGATTATTATAAACAAGTTTATTAGAAAGACAAAGGAGACGCATTGTATAAAAGTATTATTTACAAAATCAGTTGTGTGGGTTGGAATCCTCTCCCCCAAGGGATCAGTGTGCAGAACTGAAAATGAATCCCAGAAACGTACGTTGGCCGGGCAATGCTTTCTGGTGATGAGTGGAGGAGCCTGCTGTCTGGCACCTTCTGGTCTGTCCATTAACAGCCCCGTCTGCCCTGCCCCCTGCTTCCCAAACAAAGGGCCGGTGACCCAAGCAGCTGCCTGCTCAGTAGCGCCTCTGTCTGGGGGAGAAAATGGCGCTGGGGTCGCTGTCACGCTCCCTCTCCTTTTCTCTCTCCTTCTGTGAGTTTGGGGACAGGCGCCCCCCTGCATCCCCTGGCCGGCCCCTCTCGGTCCTGAAGAGGTCACGGCCTGTGCGCAGAATGTGCTCCTCCATCTTGCGGTGCCTCTTCATGTCGGACAGCACCTTGTCCAGCCGGGCCTCCCGGCGCACGGTAGAACGGCCTGAGGAGCCTGCAAAAGAGTGGGGTCAGACCATGGGGCCCAAATACATGCATGGGGGATGTGGCTCACAGGGACCTTGGCGCCAGCATGCAGATCTACATGACAGCGGAAGTACCTGGCAGTCGGCGTCGGTTGATGTAGGTGTTCTTGGGCGTGGTGAGTGAAGGCTCATCATCAAAGTCAAATTCTGTGGGACTGGGGATCCTGAGGACAGACGAGAGTGTTACACACCATAGGCCGTGCTTGGCCTGTGGAGACCCAGCCTGGGTTCTCATTTGCCTATCTTCCCCACCCCCCATAAAACCTCCATGTAAAGTGCTCCTCTGCAATGCAAAGCTGCATGCTGCCCTGCATTTGCATGGAGCTCCAGCTCTCCCCCCTCATTCCCCACACTCACTTGCGCTGGCGCTCCTCCTTCTCTCGCTCCTCCTCAGAGTCACCGGCATCTCTCTCAGGTGAGGGCGTGTACTGTGGGGTGAGAGGACGCCGCGGCAGGGGGATCCAGTTCAGCTCCAGACCATCCCCCTTGGCTAGGATCTCGTACAGGCGCTTGACTTCCAAAGGCGGAGGCGTCCAGTTCTTGGGATCCTCTATTTCCTCATCACTGCATGGCACCTCCCATTCCTCCTCTTCCTGTTCTGTATTTACACTTTCCTGCTTTCCATCATCCTTCATTTCTTGATCATACCCGTCCTCTGTCGCTTCTTCCTTGTCACTGACTAAACCGGACGCGTAAGGGATTTCATTAGCATTAGATTAACGTTCAAATACACAGCGACTTGTTAGTAGATACAATTACTGGTGTACCTTTTCTCTCTCCATCGTTCTCTGTCTCCTCATTTGTTTCGGTTTCCTCTTCCACCGGTTCGTCTCGTTCTTTGTCTACTTCCACCTTCCCCTCCCTCGCTGACTCCGTTTCCTTCTTGTCCCCGACCCCCAGAGATTCCAGACCCTCTGCCACAGACTGCATCACCTGGCAGAAGTAGGGTGACAGATGCATGAAACTGTAATCAAGGACTGCAAAATGCGTCTAAGCCCCAAAAGCAAAGCGAAGACGACATTACCTGTGGCCGATTAATAACTAGATAGAAACAACATATCCTGTCCACCTACCTTTGCTCAGCTTGGACTTAAACGTACAAATAAACAAACAATATCGGAACACAATGGAATGACATTTATAGATGTAATTATTCCGTATTCACTGATGTTTACAATTTGAAACTGCCATTTTAAAATAAAAGTTTAAATATCCCATGAATTTTTACATTTGAATTCGTGTAAGAATTAAATTATATATTAAGTGATAAATACCAATGCTTCTCGGTTTTTAATGAGCAGACCTCTTCTTTCAATCGAATTGTTATTGTAAAAGTACAGGACTCCGTCACGTTATTTGTGCGTCGACAGGTGTGATTGGTCAAAGATACGTTCAGGACGGACGCTTTGCTTATGACGTTTTGCGCCGTGATTGGTCGGCTATACGTCGCAAAATTTTAAAATTATTGTTGGAGAGGTCCTGCAGCGGTGAAATTGTGTAGAGCTGTGGGAATGATGGTTTAGGTAAATATTCATAGTCTTCACCCTTTCAAAGTTTTTTTTTTAACGTCGCGTTCCATATTTTCAAATATCGGTATTATAAAGGCCCCAGCTTTGAAGAGCCAGCAGACGGTGAGTGTGCTTCGGGTCACCGAGCGAGTACTTCATGGGAGGTTTAAAGGCCTCCGGATGGCCTGATGGGAGCTGCCGTTTGAGATGTAGAGCAATACCGCTGCATGTCTCTGTTATTTGATGTAGCCACGAAACTGTTTTGCTGGTTTTTTATAGACTGGACACCATTACTCTCGTTTCTGTGTGTTTTTTTTTTTTTTTTTTTTACCGAAAGACATTGTGCTTGCGGATGTATAAAATAGAGGGTCTGTGATGATTTTTGCATCTTTAAAGATGTAAGCTTTTCATCAGGCATCATGGCATAATAAAAGCGGCAACCTAATTAATTATTATAGTATTACAGAATATGTATTGTAGTATTATAGAATAAGTATGTCAGATAGGCTTGCTTTATTGACATGACCATAGGAAACAAAGCATCCTTGGCGAACAAAACGCGTACCTATAGGCAGAGGTGTGCAGTAATGCGCTACACGTACTCCGTCATACTTACTTGAGTACCTTTTTGTGGAAAAGTATTTTACCGATATGTTTTTCCAAGTGAGTTCTTATTTGAGTAGAAAAGGGAAAAAATCGTACTTTTTGCTCCGTTACATTTGCCTGAATTGATCTCGCTATTCGATTCTTTCTCCCGCATCTCTCCGTTTCTGTAAATTCTGTATTCTGGACAATTCCAATTTGAGTAGTGTTGGGTTCAGCCACCCTCCGGGTCCGTGATGATAAGGGATCCACACCAGAGACGAGGAGTAGTTGCATGTCAACAGTTTATTCAGATCGATCTGGGAGCCACACTCTGACATACATTCAGCATGTACAGTACGAAGCTCGAACCATAGTTGTCGGCTCTGTCTCTTTATAGACCCTCCGGGGTGTTCCCCCCCTTCTCGGTACTTTTCCATCTACGTGACTACAACATATTTTGACATTTGCTCTAGTTAGTCAGTGAGTACATGTCCCCCCCCCCCCTTTATGTTAAGCAAAAGTTAAAATAAGTATTGCTTATAGGATCTGTTCCTGTTTTCCAGCTGTCTGAGACGAGGTCACCCTGACCTGCTCGCACACTGTCAATTCCTGATTTCTGTTAGCTGCATTATTTTAGAATCAACCCCCTCCTTTCATCATGCCCTGCTTTAAGCTATATTCTCCTTTTCTTCTATTCATTGTATGTTCTTTATAATTCTATTGAATCCCACAGTAGTAAGAATGATAATTCCACAAATGTAATTACAATGTGATTTGGTAAAAGGACAATTCAAAATATCTTCAAATACATTTTGACTAGTAAAATTACATTTGAGATCTATAATTACGTCTCAAGTATACTGATTCAACTCGTCACGCATACAGAATAATTCTTGATATCTTAATATTTTGACTAAAATAATTATTTTAAATATCTGAATTACAGTTTGGACTAGACCAATATGTTGTGCATGACGTGACTGATCCAAAACTACATATGCCTAATTAAAAAATGGTGGTTAGCATTGTGCACAATATTGAACGAAAGTGCCATGAAATTGAAAGAACTTTCAAAATAAAGGGGTAATAAATAAGAACATAAGAACTATACAAACGAGAGGAGGCCATTCGGCCCATCGAGCTTGCTTGGGGAGAACTTAACTAATAGCTCAGAGTTGTTAAAATCTTATCTAGCTCTGATTTAAAGGAACCCAAGGATTCAGCTTGCACTATGTTATCAGGGAGACTATTCCATACTCTGACTACACACTGTGTAAAGAAGTGCAAAAGTCTTAGGCAGGTCTTTCTCATAACCAGCTACCTTTATTTCAGTAG